GGTGCTGATTGACTTTTTTGTGCGTCCTGACCTGCTACACATGCCCAGCGAATGTTGTAGCTGTAGGTGAAACAACCATCCGACAACAGTCAGTTGAATTAAAAAAACACTGCGAAAATGGACAAAATGGCCATTGATCGAAATTGGATGGGCCGCCATTTCCAAACCGGGCCTCATCTGTGAAGCGTTTGAAGAACTTTTAGTCACCATGTCATGTAGTTTGTGCCTGCCAAATGTCAGGTGTGTACGATGAACCCCCTCGGAGGAGTTCGATTTAGAAAATGGCCAAAAATGGCCCGACATGGTCACGGTTTTTCCAACATGGCGGATTTCCTGTTGGAAAAGGAGGACAAAGAGATGCAGGTATCATCAAATATGAGTTTATTTTTTTTTTATAAATCATTCTTACAAAATTGGCATTTATCTATTTCATCTGTGACCTCTATAAAAGTCTTCTCTTAATTACAAGGTAAGAGGGAGGAGAAGGCATCAGGACCGCTGGACCTCATGTCAGCAGGTGTACTGCTGACCGGTTGGCTAATGCAGCCGATCACTGATCAATATCAGAAACAGCAAGTGGTCATGCGTCGTTGCCGTAGCAACAGTGTCCAAACACAAAGATGGAGATGAGAGAATGAAGGTGTGACTCATCCAGTGTACGAAGCAGTTCAGTCTCTGCTGCTGAAAACAATCAGACAAACTGTTGATAAAAGGCACAAATCAAGAAACACCTGCAGCTTCAGGTGGACCTTCTAACACCTGTGCTGAAGCTCCGGAGGACAACTTGCATAATGTTCAGAGGTTTTCTGGGGCCCAACTTTCATCCATCACACTCTGACCGAGACTCGACTTTCTGAGAGCAGCAGCTGAACTGTTCCTTCTCCAAGTCATCTGACCTGCAGCTGTGAAGGAGCCAATTTAAACATCAGCTCAGAGACACTACAGCAACGCATGAGGGGAGATGCTGCAGCACGTCGGAGGGCTTCCATCTGGGCCCAGCTGCTTATTATTTCCATGTGTCAGTTGGCGTCGTTTTTATTGGGACTTTACAATTTGACTCCTGCAGAGAGAGAAGATGGTGCGGCTCAATCCAATTCTAGATCGCTGGTGTATGAATCTTCTCCGGAGATAAAACTCGACTACGATGAGTCTGAAATGTTCTGTGTCTCGGGGAACTGAGTATTAGAAAGCCACCAGAGTGTGATGGATGCTTCCCCAGAAAACTGATGCAGAGTGAAACATAATCTGAGCTGTTTATCGGCATCTGTGTGGATTAATGTGCACAGCGTGTAGAAATGAACTGAATAAATAGCAGGAGCTCCCCTCAGCGATCAGGATCAGCCTCGTGTTGGAGCCACGTCATCTCAGTCTGTTCTTAAAAATAAATATGTGTCTATGTACAGTGCTGAGAGCAGGGGTCTGTCAGGTGCTGCTTCTGTCAACTATCTGCACAGCTGAGGGAAGCAGCAGTGATTCAATCAGACATAAAAGGCTCGATATGGATGCAAACACGAAGGTTCCTGAAGCACGGACCAGATGCAGCGAAGAGCGACGTTTTCCCAGAATCACGTTCTGTTGATGAGAGACTCCACATTAACCAGACGATGAATCTGTGCTGGCAAACTAACCCCAAGTCCCACAATTAAACCTGATATTCAGAACGACGGCATGAAAACGGTTTGGTTTGATATGAAACGCTGAAACAGAGACTCTGACTGTCAGCAGGTGTGTCAGGCCTTTACAGCAGCTCTCTGTAGAACGACTTAAAAACAGTCCACAGACGCTGAGTGAACGTCGTCGGCTGACTGATTAACATGCTGCACAGCCCAGACATCAACGGCCGCCTGACAGAAAGGCCACCAAGAGCTGCTTCACATCACTGTCTGCAGGCCAACAGGGGTTGGACTGGAGCTGCATGTGGACCTGAAGACAGTTACAGGTCCACATCGATGTTCTCAGGGATGTTCTGATCAAGTATTTATTGTCCCAATCTGACACCATCATGTTTCTCCAAATACGTTTCAATTATTACAAGTGGGCATTGAACTGCTTTTGTTTTCCAATTTGAAATATGTCCACACTGCAGATGTTTTAGCTGTAACGGATGCTCTCTGTCCACCCTCCAGTCCAGCAGGTGGCAGTAACGCACCTTTAAGCTGGTGTGCTAACCGCCAGTCAAGCCACATGGTCTTCCTTTATGACACCAGTGTAACTAGAGATGTTAATGAAGGGTAACTGATTAACTGCTGTTAATAAGAAAATAGAAACATATGAACTAAGCAGAAGAAGCTCATGATGTCGGTAAACGTACCAGAGACCAGCTGCAGTACCTGGTTGTTCCACCAGGTGGAGCCTCTTCCTGTTTAATCCTGTAGAGACCAGAGGAGGCGTCTACAGACTACAGCTCCTGGTGGCAGCAGAGAGCATTGTGGGAGTTTAGCAGCACCGGGACCATGACAGAGACTCTGAGGGGGTTCAGGACCTCCGACTAAACTCATGAAGTCAAACTGAGTTGGTACGTTTCTCAAGCAACCAAACTGATGTAGCCGCTTCTGATCCACCTGCTTTTGGAAGCAGCATGAGGAGGAAACTTCACTGTTTTAACTTCTGTGATCGATTGGATTGAATAATGACGCCACTGACTGTCAGCTGAGGACCTACAGGGCGTACAGACAGGACAACGACAAGAGATCGGGCTCACATTTGTGCCTAACAAAGTGTTAAAGGGTTAAATGCCTTGATCGGAACACCCCGGTTACTTCTGATTGTGACCATGATGTCCAACAGGATGAGCTCATTTAATGCAGACTGTGTTCTGATGTGATCCAGCTGTGATTAACGAGCAACAAACATGGCTGCTGTCAGAGGGAAGCCGAGGAGGACAGACGAGTCCTCCCAGAGCTAGCATTAGCCGGCGGGTCATGTTTGTGGGTCGCTGCTTTCACAACACAATGGTCCATAATGTTGAGTGTTTCATCAACAGCTTGTCCTCCGGGAACAGCAGCTCTCCAAATGAAATAGCTTTACCTAATTGAAGCCTAAACGTATCTCTGGCTGACAAATGGAGGAGAAAACCTTTTGTCAATTTAATGGCTCCGAGGTCGTCTGATATGTCAGGGGAAAATAAAAAATAAAGAATAAAGGCGGCAGCAGAGCCTCAGCCCACTGATGAAGGAATATTTCAACAGGAGAGCACGTCGGCGTCTCAGACTGATGTAGGCAACGTGATGTGCAATAAACTAGTTTAAAGGCAGACCCTGATGTCAGAATGGCACCGAAGCACTCAGCGTGAAAATCTCTCCACAAACACTCGCCGGCCGCCGAAGACCTGTGACCGTCTCAGGCGTCCTGTTCCTCTGAAGCTCCGACTGCAGGAGGAAAAACGGGCGAAACGAGTTTGTGTTAGAATGCAGCGTTCTGCTCCATTTCATCCAGAAATGTTCATTTCGCTCATTCCAACGAAGGGAAAATGTACTCGGCTCGAGCTTATGGTTGGATGAGCCAACTCTTCAAGGCTCCGCACACACACTCACACAAACACTCCGTCTGAGGGAGGAAATAAAAGACGATGAAAGTAAGTGGGAAAAAAAAGAAGATGAGAAAAGTACAACTGCTGTGGCGAGTGCGGGAGGAAAATGGGACATGAAATGAGATGTTTTTCTAACTTATCTGGGTGATAACGGGAAGCAGATCGGCCATTAAAACAGCAACACATGGAGGCAGGAGCCGAGAGAGGACGACTCCAGGCCCAGCGATATGTCACGAGATGGAAACATGAGGAACAACAGCTGCTCACCAGGCCGCTGCAGACTGGACTCCACCGCTTTAACTCTTCTGCTGTAAAGACGAAAATATCTCAAAACGGATGATCTCAGACTCTCAGAGGGTCGACGAGGAACCACAGCTGATTTGTACAGAAATCAAATCAACTGAAGAGCAGATTCCCAGAATGTTGGAGAGTCCAGTGTCACGTCCTGATGCTGAGCAGAGAGGTGCACTACCAAGTCCAACAGAACCAGGCTTCACTGTTAGCTGGATCCACTAAACCTGGAACCACCAGGATCACGGTGTTGTTTGTGAACCAGATTCAGTCGCTTGTTCCGCAGACAGCGTACTGATGCTGCGTCTGATACGATAATAATCATAATAATACGATGCAGATGATTCAGAGGAACGCTGGTGGAAGCCACCAGTTCATGTATGTGTTTTATGTTTAATGCAGCTGCTTCATTCATTTTAACATGAAGACGTGATGAAGTCTGAAAATAATGAAGGAGACGCAGAAGTTACTTTAGATTTTGGCCAAATCAGAGTAAATGAATGCTTTTGATTGGACATTCTCTGTGATTACACCAGTAAACGGACCAGTACCACCAGCTGAACGGGCTGAGCAGCATAAAAACATATTTATGCATCTGTTGCCATGGTGACCTGGCCGTGCAGCATCTGTTACCATGGAGATCCAGCACTCTACAGTCACTAAACCCCGCCTGGCTAACTGTGGGTCTTCTTCGTAGTGCACCCCTCTGGGATGGTTGCCGGGGGCGACCAGTGCTATCTGTGGCAGGTCGGGTTGCCAGGTTTGCGAACACCTTCCCTCTTCTACCGTCCTGCACGTGTGCCGAGAGCAGGAGCGCCAGTCTCGTCCTCGTGGTACAAAAAAATATTCTCTCCGAGTGTTCTTGTCGTCAGTAGTTTGTGCTGCTGTTTTAGAAACATACAGTTCGTTTGTCCGTCAGTCCGTTTCCTGTTGTCACGTCCAAACACTTCCTGCTTCAGGTTCTGGCAGCAGCGGTTCTGTGGTCATTGGCAATGTGCTGAGTGGAAGACGGAGCTGCGATCCTCCCGGTCCGTCCCGCCGTGAGTCGACTCCTCCGGACCTCCATCGAGTCTCTGTCTCGGGCCTCCCCCTGCATGGGTTCTGCCACCGGGGGGCGTCGGTCCTGTCAGAGCCTCTCGATGTCCCTGTATTTCTTGCGGAGGATGGAGACCTGGTCCTTGAACAGAACCGGGTCCAGTCTCATCTGGGAATGGACCAGTGGCATGGCGCCAAACCAGCTGGCGAACTTGTTCATGCAGGTCTGCCGCTGAGCAAAGTGGTCCGGGTCGGCCCAGCGAGACGCCCTCGAAGACTGGAGGAGGACAAAGGACACGTTTGGTTCTCTGAGTCGGGAA